TTTTTTTTTAATTTCTCGGTAACCACAAAAGACATCGATGCCATTCAAAAAACTCTATCTTGTTCACAATTTATCCTATTGGAATTTAATATATTATATTATAATATAATAATACAAAGAATACCGATTTGTTAAATAAAACGTGGATGTGCGCGTACATTACGATATCGCCGACAATCTTTATCTATCCATTACATTTGTTGCTTATATTTCGGTAACTATAAAAGATAGCGATGTGATTCAAAGAACACTTACTTCTCTTTATTATAAAGCACTAATTCCAATAATAAATTGTGGATCAGATAGTGCTCTTTGAATCACATCGATATCTTTTGTGGTTGCCGAGAAATAAACAAAAAATGCAATTGGCAGTGAAAAGGATATCGGCGATGTTGAAAAGTACGCGCGCTTCTACGCTTTACTTAACGAACCGGTATTTATCTTATTAATATTATAAACCAACAATTCCAATAGGACAAATTGTGGAGAAATTAGTGCTCTTTCAATGGCATCGATATGTTTTGTCGTTGCCGAAAAATAAACAAGAAACGCTAGTCTAAATCTCGGAGTTCTGGTTTATCTAAAATATTTCTCGTATAGTTCAGAACATGTTGAAGTCCTTTAAAGAGTTCTGGGTGGTAGCGATGTTACCATATATTTAAAAAATTATTTACTTTTGAACGCAATATACACTGAGGAAAATATATTACAAAAAAGCAAAATTAGTTGAATTTAAAGAAATAATGGGTTTGTATAGTACTGCAGAATCATTTGTTTCAATGAAAGAATTATATTTCCTTTTTCTCAATAAATAACATGGAAGAAATATTTTCCAGATTATAGGAAATATTTATTGAAACAAAAGTACTGATTGTTGCAAGTAAATAATTTCCAACTTGTATTACTTTATGTTAAGCAAATGCGACTTTCTCTTTAGCAAATCATATGTTGAATATAAAAAAAGTTTTGTACAATGAAAGTAATATTTACTGCAATATAAAAAATATTTCAAAGAAACACATTGTTTTTCTTTGAAGCAAATCATTATAAATTTGGAGGCAATATTTTTTACAATGTAGTAAATATTTGTAGTAAATATGTTTACATTTGTTTAAATGTTTAATTTGTTTAATTTGTTTAAATAAAAAGAATAGTTTCATATTTTTCCTAGCAATAAATATTTAGTGGAATATAAATGTATTTTTTTTT